GACTTCTGCATGCTGCCTCACTTATGGGACCAGTTTTGCTGCAGTGGTGTCACAGAGGTACAGATTTTCAGTCCATTTGGGTACCTGCAAGTCAACATGCTCTTGATTTGTAGTAGAAAGCCGTTTTAATTTATCAGTGAAGAACTTCACTGGGAGCACAAGTAGGCCTTCCTGCATCTTCACAAAACAAATAAACAAACAACTATCTGTGTATTAGCTCTTATGATAGAGCAGCAGACAGCAACCTGCTCAGAAGAGCACATTGCCTGGGAGACTCAGAAAATGGCAGGGGTGAACTACAGATAGTGCAGCACCCACCTAGACTGACAAAGAAAACAACCTACTGGGTGCAGCATCATGTATTCCCTGTGGCCTGTAAGATCTGCTGTTCACAACAACAGATTTATGACCCACCTGGCCATAGGAAGAGGAGATTGTATTGATGCTTGCTATCAAACAGGCATATCAAGCTATTTTATTATTTACTTAATTTGTACAAATTATGACAAGGATGAGGCATACACTTCATGTGCACAGACACAGGCCAAACTTTCTGAGAAGCAGAACTGTACAAAGAACACAGCTACTGACGTAAAAATACATGCCTTCAGAGTTCTGAATTATGACAGTTCATGCCAACCTCAAGCAACAGTGAGTGTTCAATAAAAGAAAGCTTTTATGAAACTTTCTAAGTGAAGCATACAGCTTTTCCAGAAAGCACTGCTTTTTTTTTTTTTTTTTAACCCCCCCGTATCCCTGGAGTGTTGCACTACCCATTTTTTCACCCCAATATTTTTCCTCCCCATCTACTAAAAATCAGAGCTTTGGCATCAAACCTTTCTGAAGGCTCATTTACCTGCTGGGAATTATTCCTTGCCCAATGAGTTGCTGCAGATTACCCTCTAATGGACAGACATGAGTTGGCATCTTATACTTACCCATTTCATAATAGGTGCCCAGAAGAAGACTGTCTTGGGACCTGAGGAAAGAATGGGGAGAAAAGTTAAATTACTCAATGAGATGTAGTTGCTTTAATGCTCTTAGTAATTTTTGAGTTATTGATGATTTCGTTGTTGTTTGTAGTGTTTTTGTCAGGTTTTTTTTGTGTGTGTAGATTGTTAGGGTTTTTCTTAGTATAGTGAATTGCACAGTGATATTGTGTAACTGTGCATATATTGTGCTTTATCACCTAATGCTCATATTTCTTTAACTCTGTGCATCAACTTTTAGTTGCATAATCAGCCCACCCATTTTTGCAACAGATGAAGAAGAAAGATTGGTATTCCTACTTTCAGGCAACCAAGGGTACTGCAAGACATATTTATAATGAAAATATTGAGATCAGGCCAGGAAAAATGAAAACAGTTTCCATATGAAGATTAAAACTTAGACTATCGCTGAACAAACAGTTAGAGTTTGAAATCTTTGTAAACTGAATCTAAAACTGAAAACTATTTCCTTCCAGTACTTGAAGGGAGCTTATAATCAGGAGGGGGAACAGCTGTTTATAAGGGTAGACAGTGACAGGACAAGGGGGAATGGTTATAAACTGAGACAGAGGAGGCTTAGGTTAGATATTAGGAGGAAGTTTTTCCACTCAGAGGGTGGTGACACACTGGAACAGGTTGCCCAAGGAGGCTGTGGATGCCCCATCCCTGGAGGCATTCAAGGCCAGGCTGGATGTGGCTCTGGGCAGCCTGGTCTGCTGGTTGGTGACCCTGCACATAGCAGGGGGTTGAAACTAGATGACCTTTGTGGTCCCTTTCAACCCAGGCCATTCCATCATTCTATGAATCTTGTAAACTGTAACCATGAAATATTTTTTATTAGTGCTGCAATAAGTCAGACCCTGCTCCCTTTCCAAATCACAGCCCATTTCTTCATACTACAAAAGACATCCTACACAGCAGCATTATTAGACAGTTAGAGTACAAATTGAAAACAAGTAGCAGCATGTTCTCATGGACCTCTAATGCACATCTCTGAGTAGGTAGGTCTTTGACCTCCCATCTCAATATTTTGCCAATAGTCAAACAAGGATTATAAGGATACAGAAAGGAGAAAAATCAATGGAGCAGGATCTGGAAAAACATTTCTCTCATAACTACATATATCCTACAGTGGTGCAGAAATAGCAGTTGGTTGGTTAAAACAAAGTATTGTAACATTACACCAGCAGTATGCAGACTGTCAGCTGTGCCAGACATCGTTAATCTAGGCAGACTGCTCCAAGTCTTTAAAGAAAGACCAGGATCCAAAATGTCCACCCACCACCCTGGGGTACAGTCAGGGCACTGGGCCCGATTTTGCCAAAATACATGAAGTTTGAGGCATTGCTACGCAGATAACATGTGAGATGAAACCAACTTCCCACTATAATATGTTACATATTATGAGTCAAAGTTTTAAAATATAAACAATAAATACTAGGACATGGGCTGTTTGCTTTTTATGTGAGCTAATATTTAACTAACAATGCAGCCTTACAGTAACTATTTATGCAGCTTGTTTTAAGCACCCTTGTGTTTAAAACCATGACTTCGAAAAATTAGCCACAAGGTTTCTGCAGCAAGTACATGTGAAGCAACTTACAACATAGGGGATAAGACTTACTGTTACAAATATCAGTTGTTCAGTCACCTTAAAGCCAGCTAAACCCTATAAAAGGCATGACTGCAACACAGAATGCAGCAAAAACTAGCTTGGCAGCTTTGCATAAAGTAAGACTTTAAGACAGTAAGACCCATGCTGCTTGTGACAGTGATCAAGTTTCAGTCAGCAGCTAGTAACTTCTAGCAGATTACTTTTCACCTTAAGAACAGAACATTTCTCACTGTAACAATATTTTTTTTTCCTCCATTACGTAAATTTGGTAATAATTTGATAACTTAAAACTACTGACTAAGAAAGTAAGAAACAGCTGAGCCAAGCTGGTCCTAAGAGAGGGCAGTTAAATCCTGCTAGCAGAACACCCTCCCCAAGAGATGTTCCAGTAACAAGGACTCCCCAGACAGGGCAGGCTCTTCCTGGATCCTGACACCCATTTTTCAAGGACAAATTAGGCAGCAGCCGCTCAGAACCAGGACATGCTAGTTTGAACACTCTATGTGCAAATAGAAGTTTACTTTATATTAAATGTAAGAAGTGTTTGTCCTGGGGAGCTGTTTAGTCAGGCCAAATGAACCCAGGAGGGCAAAGGAGGCGGAGTACAAGCCCAGTCCAGGCCTGCGAGGCTAAGAGCTGCGCTCCCTGCACAACAGCAGTTGACATGCCATGTCCCAAGCCCTTTGCTGTCCTCCAGCAGCTGAGCTGTGTGGTGCCAGCCAAAAAAACCTCTTCAGAGCTGGCATTTTCCTGGAAGCTTTCTTTGTGCCAGGAAAGAAACAAACACAGTTTGTTCTTCCCTTGCTGCAAGCGATGTATAATTTCACAATAACAGCACTTGATGTCATTCCCACATTAGATCAGCAACTCGGTTATCTCCAGGAGATACGACGTCAGCCTTTCATTTGTAACCTACTTGTTTGCAGTCAGTGACATCTATTGCTCAGGTTTCTGAGCCCCCTCTGCTCAGGCATTCAGGGCTGAAGCTGAACATCAGAGGCTTGGGTTTGATACCTGGTTGTTTGGTGGTTTTTCTCACCACTGGGGTGCTGGCTACTTATGGGTTATTGCTATGATGTATATATACGCTCGTGGTCCACCAACACGAACATGCTTATGGGGCCCTAACGAATCTGGTACACAGATTTGAACGGCGGCAGCTTTCCCTCTGTGGTCACAAGCCACAGTACGAATTCCAGGAGGGCACCGCTACGGGATGGAGCAACCACCCGAGCGCCAAAGTCCGTTCTCACCGCACACATCCCAGCTAGGTGAAGAGTCAAGGATGCGGCACGCGGGAACCAAGCACCGGCCTATGGGATGCTGCGGCTTTATCGCGAGTTCCGCGGCTGTCCCGCGCGGCCTGTTTGCATGGCAAACAGCACTGCCGGAGGTCTCTCCCCGGTGACACGCTTCCCCCGAGCGAAACTCTGAGCCAGCTGAGGGCCCGCCGGGCAGCACGGACCCCTCGCCGAGTGGAACCCGCCCCAAGCAGCTTCTCCCCGCGCTCAGCCCCCCACCTCCCGCCCCCCGCCGTTACCGGCCGGGTGGTTGTAGAAAGGCCGGAACCGCGGCGGCAGCATCAGCTCGATGCGGTCGAGCAGGCGGTGGTAGGAGGCGCGCAGCCCCGTGACTGCGGCCGCCATGTCGGCACAACGAGAAGACCCTCGACGACTGGCGTGTCAGCGTGCCGCTCGGTTACCCCACCGGCGTCTCCGTCCCCCCACGACCCGCCGTCCTTCCGCTACGCCCCGCCCTCACCACCCTCGAGCCGGATGGAGGAGTGTAGGAATCCCGCGCGCTCATTGGCGGATCGGTTAGGGGGCGGGGCAGGGCGGAAAGGTCCGGCAGCCGCGATTGGCTGGGGACACCTCGCGAGGCGAGCGGAGCCGGCGCTTTGGGCAGAGCGCTACCGGCCTTCTTTGGGAAGGGCACGAGAGTCGTCCCTGTGCCCAGCTCAAAGATGGCTACGGTACCGGCTTCACACTCCCTATCAAGATGGACGGCGCCGGAAACTCAGTCCCGCGGCCGCGCGCCCAGACCTAAGATGGCCTCCTCGCGGCTTCACCGCTCAGCTCATCTGCGTCACCCGTCACATCCACGGCGCCCCAGCGCCGCAGCGAGGAGGCGGTGCTCCCAGCTCGCGTGAGAGGCGGGGCGTATCGGAGCGCCTCCCCTGCCCCGCCACCCTCCCTCCGCTCCCGGAGGCGGGGCTTCACGGGGGCGGGGCGCCCTGAGGGCGGGGCGCGGAGCCTTTGCCGGCCCCGCCGCTCTCGCTGTTGCTCGTTCTCTCGCTTGTTTGCTCTCTCGGTTGCTGCCCGTCGGTGCCGCGGCGCGAGGCGGGCACTGGTTTCCATGGTGATCGCGCGGCGCGGCCGGAGGCAGCAGAGCGCCCGGCCCCGCGCGGGGCCATGTCCCGGGGCCGCTGCCCCCACCTGCTGTGGGACGTGAGGAAGCGGAGCCTGGGGCTGGAGGAGCCCGGCCTGCTGCGGCGGCACTACCTGGGTAAGGGCGCGGCGGCGAGCGGGCCGGGAAGCGGTCACCCTCCCTCCCCCCTCCGCGGGGGCCGAATCCGGCCGCCAAGTTTCCCCGCCCGCTTGTGCCGCCCCTCCCGCCGCTGCCGGGGCCCCGCGAGGGGGGAGGGGGCAGAACTGTTGCTCGAGGCCGCCCCGAGCGTCCCTCACGGCCGTTGTTGGCCGGCGGAGCAGCCGCGTTCGCCGCCCACGTGAGGAAACGGAGCCGGTGGTGTTCTTTGGTAATGGCGGAGGGTGCGTGCGTGCCTCGAACCCCCCTGCCCGCAGCGCCGGGCGCAGGGCTGGCTGTTACACGCGCCGTCGCGGAGCTCTCGCCTTCGGTGGGTTCGCTGGCAGCGAATCTTCGGCTTTGTGCCCCGGGGGTGTAATGACGCCCGCTCCCGAGGCGAACCGTGGGGTGCTTGCAGCGCTGGCGGTGTCGTCCTGGCTGCTGCTGGAGCTCCCTCGATTCCTGGCTGAACGGGGTGATGTTCGGGGATCCCAAGCGCTCGGCAGGGTGGGAAGGGTAAAGGAGAAAGCAGAGCCCCTCCTGGCGCTTCCACCCTCTGCGTGCATGTAAACGCTGTGTGAAAAACTGTGAGGTTGAAAACTGTTGATCCTGCCGACTTTGGCTTGGTAGCTTCTGTCTGAATGGCAGTGTGTGGCAGCCTTGGCTGCAGCTTGTCCCAGTTTAGAATCACAGAACAGCCCGGGTTGGACGGGACCCATAGAGATCACCGAGTCCAACTCCTGGCCCCACATGTGACCACCTAAAATCCAAACCCTGTGTCTGACAGCGATGTTCATACGCTCCCTGAACTCTGGCTCTCAGGGCCGTGCCCACTGCCCTGGGCATCCCGTTCCATGCCTACTGCCCTCTGATGCAAAACCTGTCCCTAACCCCCAGCTGCCCCTCCCCTGACACAGTTCTGTGCTGTTCCATCTGGCCTTGTAGCTGTCACACAGAGCAGAGCTCAGCGCTGCCCATCCACTCCTTGTAAGGGGCTGCAGCTACCATCAGGCCTCCCCTAATTCTAGTGGAAATGCAAGCGTTCCTCTGCCTGGACACATGAGGAATGTTCCTTGTGTTTGCTCCTGTTAGAGCAGAAAAGCCTCTTGTTAAAATTGGGGCTGTGGAGCATAGATTTTGAAGGGACACTATGAGAATTTTTGCTTGGACGTTACACTGGCTCTTGTAATTGACGTGTGAAATTTCATCAGTAGAAATCAGTCCTAATTTTATGGTGACCTATGTGGAGTAATGCTCCTGTGTAATATACATAACCAATTAAAAACATCACTCTGGTGACTGGAGTAAGATCTTATTGTTAGGGGTGTTCATTGAACCTGAATGTGTTCCATAGCATTATAGCATTTGAGGACATTTTCCCTAGGACAGATGGGACATTCAGCTGGACTCATGCTGAGATAGTTACTAGTGGTCGCAAGTATTATTCACTCCTTGAACTTTATGCCTTAAGCTGCAGCTAGGAGTTGGAATCACATTCTGGGCTTGGCATGTAGTGTGCTTCTCTTGTAGAACTATCACACTTGTAATCAAAATAGCATTTACTGCCCTAATACACCCACCAATGGGATTGCTTGTGTCTGGACTTAAGCCATGGGAGGCCTGTTGTGCTTTTCATGTACTGTTCTGACATGTGTTCTGGGTCGTCTTTTCACACAGCAGCAGCCCTGCATGGGACTGTTGCTATTTGGATGGAGGCTGTGTTGAAGTCAGGTGGGTGGTGCTGGTTGTTGGTCCTCCTGGAGCTCATCTGAGCTGGTAGTGAAACTTGTACCTGTTGGGCTTCATCAGCAGCCTGAGGGCCAGAACAAAGGCAGGACAGGTGTCTTGGGTTGGCTTAGCAGGAGTGTTATGAAACAAATCCATCGTCTGTGCTTTTTATTATTTTTTTTCCCTCACTTTTTTGGTAAATTTGTCAAAACAGTTATACAGAATAAAATAGATTGTTTGTCTTTTTGCTTCTGGCCACCCTTTTCAGCCAGCAAAGCAGAAGGGGGGTCTCACAGCAGGAACCTGACAATGCAGTTAATAATGCATTGGAAGACATGTTGTGTTCACCAGTGATAACTGTACAGAGAAGCGTTGACTTGGATAGTATCATTATGCTACCGAATAACATACAGGCAGTACTTAGGTGCCTGTATATCGGAGGGACACATCTAAGAAGGAACTGCTGTTTCTTATTTACTCTGCGTTTTGGTTTCATGTGAACTGGCAATCAAGTGGCACACTATTTATAGCCCCTTTCAGCTTTCAAAAACAGCTGCTCCAAGAGGGATCTGCACATCATATTGTGCCTCCCCATGCAGATGGCTCGCTCTGGGAATTTATATCCTTGCAAAACTCTGCTTGATTTTGCAAGATCTTCTGATAACTGCCCTGAAACCTGCTCAGTTTAGGACAGAGTTGCAAAGGAAGGTCTAGTGGAGGTGAGCCAATGTGTACGTGCCTGGTATGTGCCCTCTGGACATCATCATCCATTAAGAATTCTCTCTGTGTGCTAGAGGGAAAATGGGGGTCTTATGTCTATCTGCGGTACATTTTCTTCAGCATTTGTAGGCTAATTAGTCTCCATTTCAAACAGTGCTTGCATCTGAAGTCTCCAGAGAAAGCCAAGCTGCTCTAGGAGGCTGGAAGAAGCACTGTGTGCTCTGGTGCACTTTGGCCGTCGTCTTAATCTGATGCTGGTAGGTAGAATCCTGCTGCTGGGTTGTGGTAGAAATTGAGATTTGCACTCCTTTCAGTCGTTTGAAGCATCACAGGGCTTGTACATTGGAAAAAAAAAATTTCAGTAAGCCGTAGTATCCTACCTGAGTTCTGCTTTGAAACTGTCAAATGAATTTAGGAGGACAAATTTAGAGACGTGCTACTTCCTTAAGAAGTCCTGAGTCAGTTCTGATAGCAGTTGAAGTGTTGGGTGTTGTCAACATGAGAGCTTGCGTGTAGGTGAACTATAGCATGCAATTATCTGTCTAGAGCAATAACGGCCTGGGATTCTTGTAAGAAGGAAGTGGATCCATAATTCCTCTGAAGTATTTAACGTGACAACTTTATTTGCTTTCTGTGAGGGCCGTGCTGCTGAGGATGGCTCCAAGTGGCCATGAAGAGGGCTGAAGACTGTTTTTAGTATGCATATTTTTTTATTAACTGGCAGAGTGGGCAATCTGCAGAAACTTTATTAATCTAAAATAATTTGCAGAGATGAATCGGTTGCGTGGTTTTGCTCACAGTGATTGTCAGGAGCTGTGCTTGAGACAGAGTGAATTTCAGAATAAGTACGTTCTCCTTGGCCTTTGATGCTCTTGTTGGCATCTGGCTTTCTACCATCTTCCTTTGTAGTAGGAATTTTTGGAGCTTTCAACGTTTGTTAGTGAGAGTGCTGTGGTGCTGTCTGTGGAGCTTCCCTCCACCTTTTCAAAGAAGGCTTTCATATGCTAGGGCATATGTTTGTCTAGGTGTGCAGTTTATAATACTGTTGTTTTCTGGTACTGTTTTGTAATGATTAGGAAAGGTCTGAGATCTACAAATTAACTGTAAGCAAACCAGTAGTGAGGTTAATTGTGGTCAAATTTTGTAAAGCTTCATCAGCCTTTGCTACAGGGAGAACTGGAAACATATCATTATGCAGATAGTTTAGCACATTCTCCCATTTCCTAATCAGACTTCGTTCGTTCCCCCACTTCACCAGGGTGAACCACGGTAAAACCAAAACTACTGACAGATTGGAAGCACATCTGTTCATAGATAGGGCTGAAGAACAAGGCAGGTAAGGCCAGCGGTTTCAATATTGGCTGTGTCACACTTGGTGACGTTACTGGTTTATACAACCAGCAGTGGTTTACTGAAGGTGGGTAGGATTGGGTGTTACTTTAAAGTTAGACAGCTTTCAAGGTAAGAGCTTTGTAGCTGGTGCTGCTGCAGACTTGGGGATAGTCTCAGGGCATTTAATCAGCCTTTCTTTAATTCTGTGCATAACACTTTTGATGTTTCGGTATTTTCAGGTGCACTGCTGCATTTCACATCCTAAACCTCTCACATTAATTTTCTTCTCCAGCATAAATTGAAGACACTGCATCTGTCACAGCTAAAAAAGCCATAATTAGGAGAGGTGTTTTATGCTGTTCTTCATTTTATAAGTCTGGTGTATTAACTGGTGCTTGAAAAAAGGAGCTCTATAACTTCACCTGTTTGATTGCTACTTTAACATATATGGCTTAACTTTCTGGTGTACTGTATCTTCTACTGTGCTTTGTTCTGTGCCCAGAAAACCAGCTCTGTAGTATTTGGTGTGTATTGGTGCACACCAAATGCTTTGTGAAATGAGATTCGCTGATGGACACAATTGAGCTCCTCAGGTCTGCTTTGTTAGTGATGTTTTCTGAGTAATAGAAACTGTTGCAGCCAGAATTGAAATTTTCAGAATCATGAATGAATGGAAGATACATCTTTGAAACAAACCCAAATACCTTCATTACTTTCCATCTATTAGACATCTGGCAGGAAATTTGGTATGGCATTGGATTATTCAGTGGTTGTACACAAGAAGACATACCAGAACGTTGCAGGAAAAGAATACTACTTTTTTAATTATTAAAACATTGCAGAGTGATTGGGTACTGCCTTAAACATGCTGCCATGTTTTGTTACTTATTTTTTGTCGGTAAAAACACCGTCCTTAGTGAGCCACAAAAAAAAATACAGATAGGCAATTGAAAAAAGTAGTGTGTTGCTGAGACGTGTTGATAACAATTGGCTTTGGAGAATTTTAACGGAGGGAATATGTCTGAAGCAAATTCCCTGATACGATCTCATCTCATGAAGCTGTTAGCAGGTAGCAGAAAGGCACAGTGCATGTGCATATCAAGTCGCTCTTTAAAAATGTTGGGAGTGATCCTAATACATAAAGATGTATTTTTTTCAAGTTCCAAATAAATCAACTGATGTATTCAAGACCGCCATTTAAA